AATAAACTAGTCCTAGTCGGTTCAAAGGGACAATCCTCAGCAAAAGTACGGAAAACAAACGCTGAGGAACCCAAAATAAAAAAATTTAACTAAAAACTAACACTAGACTCTATAAAGCAGCAAACAACTATATACAACAGAGACATATTACCCACTCCACACTTTAAAAATAAGCACTGTCCTCAGTGCACAATTAAAGCAAAGTATAGAGTTAGGAATACTCCCTCGGGCCTCTAGGCCTCATCATCACCGCCATCGAACACCATTAAGGCATTTGCTTCACCAACGGCATCAGCAGCCTCCTCCTCATCTCCATATTCTCTTCAGTAGTAGGCTCATCATCATCCAAAGGCTCTAAAAAAGCGGGACCAGACCTACATAGAAAGGATGCACTGTTGATCAACGGATAGCGATCCACCAAGGTCTTCATCTCCTCGTCAGTAACCGGATGCCCCCTATCCGCAACTACAACTCTGCCATACCGAACATTCTTGCCATGACGCTGTCATCATGGGCTTGCCTCTCTTGAGCAGACAAGATAGGTCCATAAGACGTATCTAGCGCCTTTGTTCGGGTCACATCCACTAACTTACCCGTTAGATTCGGGTGATAAGCAACAATTATGTTTACTGTTTCCTCTCTAATACCCTCAGCCCTCAGAAAATGGGTGATCAGCCCCCCGTAACAAAATCTACACCGCAAATTATTCCTAAATTTCATCATATTTTGCCTCAGGATTACCCCAACATTTAATGGGCATTCCCTTCATCAGCATGTAGACCAAAACTACCCTATCCCTCTTCACCTCAGTCAAATGTTTGGCAGGCAATAGCACACTATCTTCAACCACACCCTAGCAACCTGATTAAAGTTAGCAAAATAGAGGGCATTATGCCTCCCAGTATCCTTACTCCTCTCCCACCTAGCAGTTGAATCAACCCCACATAAGGTATGTCGGATATCCCTATAAGAAGGTTTATCCTTCAAGTTATTAAACTTATCTGGGTCACAATTCGGGGTTCCTAACAACTCATTCAGAATTCAGGCAGAAAACTTGACATCTTTCCCCCTAACAGGCACAATTTATATTTTGTTTCAGTTAGCCAATTAACATAAAATTCTCTATCTAATGTCAAATTGCAATCCCCCAGATTTTAAAAGATAAACCTCAAACCCAACTTATTAACAGACCGATAGATATAAGGGAATTGCGATTGTAAACTTACCTTATTGACAAATTCGTCGCCCATATACTTCACCTCTTGTTGACATTCGAACCATTCCTATTCATACCTTTGCACAACCTTCTTACCAAATTTTGCGCAGGCTCCCGGCTACTAGAGGACCCGAAAGCTTCTCCTTTCCTACTCCGCTTGGAACCCGCCATAATTTTTGTTGTTGGGGCCATCACCACCTGTGAAGAAATGAAAAAAATGGAGAAAAGAAAAAAATTAGAAAAAAAAATAAGGAGGGGGTTCGGCTGGCAGTGGGTAGTGGTGAGGGGAGAAGATTTGAAAGTGTGGTTTAAGAAAGAGAGGGAAGAAATGTGGAGAGGTGGAAGAAGGAAAAGTTTTAAGAAAATAGGGAGGTGTGGGAATGAAGGAATTTGGAGAGTGAGGGAGGAAGAAGAAGAATTAGGGAAGAAGAATGGAAAAGAAAGAGTTTGGAGGATTTTAGGGGTTTGGGTCGGTTGGGATGAAGAGAGAATAGGGGATGAATGTGAGATATGGGTGTTTTAAGGGGTGGGTCGGGTGAAATCTGGGTCGAAACTCGAAAAAAAAATCTGGGCATAGGGGTGATGGGAGGGGCGACGCGCCGCTTAGTGCGCCTGAGATGGCGCTCTGACATGCATTGCCAGGCGCGGTGCTCCCCTCAGCGCACCTGAAAGTTTCCTGTGATGTTCGATGCCAGGTGCGGCGCGCCAACCAGTGCACTTGGCTCCAGAATTATTAATCTTTTTTTTTTCTTTTTTTTTTACAAGCTAAGTTACAAATAATGAAAAATCCTATTTAACTAAAACTAAGAACTAAAAGAACTTCCTAGATTCTACGAATTTAAAGCAAAACTAAAACAATAACAATAAAAAAATTTAAACACGGACTCCCTATCTATTACATATTGTTCATGGGTTGCCTCCCATGTAGCACTTGATTTAACGTCGCGGCACGACGCAACTTGGATCATTTATCATTTAGCTCAAGAGCTTCTCGATCACGATCCGAATCCTCACCGAAATAGTGTTTCACTCTTTGCCCATTGACCAAGAACGTAGGGCTAGTCTCACCTTGAAGTTCAACTGCCCCATGTTATGTCATTCTAATAACTTCGAACGGACCATTCCACTTCGACCTGAGTTTTCCAGGGAACAACCTTAGTCTAGAGTTAAAGAGTAATACCTTGTCTCCTGGATTGAAAGTACGAGCCACTATGTGCTTGTCATGCCACCTCTTCGTCTTTTCTTTGTATAGCTTGGCATTCTCATACGCATGGAGCCTAAACTCCTCAAGTTCATGCAGTTGATTCACTCTCTTTTTACCGACTAGCTCGGGGTCCTAGTTCAACTTCTTAATCGTCCAGTAGGTTTGATGCTCTAATTCCGTCGGAAAGTGACATGTTTTTCCAAATACTAGGTGATAGGGAGAAGTCCCTATGTGTGTCTTGTACGCAGTCCGATATGCCCACAACGCATCATCCAACTTCTCATCCCAATCTTTCCTCTGTGCATTCACCGTTTTCTGCAAAATTTGTTGTACCTCTCTATTCGACACCTCTACTTGGTCACTTGTTTGAGGATGGTAAGTTATCGCAACCTTATGACGAATACCATACTTAGCTAGAAGGTTCTTAACAAGATGGTTAATGAAACGCTTACCTCCGTCACTTATGATTGCCCTTGGAGTGCCAAAGCGAGTAAAGATTTGATTCTTGATGAACTTTATCACCACCCTTGAATCATTGGAAGGAAGAGCGACCGCCTCAACTCATTTGCTAACATAATCCACAGCCACAAGAATGTATTGATTTCCACTTGATGGTGGGAAGGGACCAATAAAGTCAATATCCCACACATAAAAAATTTCCACCTCCAGAATGTTACTTAGTGGCATCTCATGTCGTGTTGAATTAGTACCCAACCTTTGGCATCTATCACAACCCTTCACAAAAGCAACATAATCTTTAAATAACGAGGCACAAAAGAAACCAAATTGTAGTACCTTATGAGCAGTGTGCTCTCCTCCATGATGACCTCCATATGGGTTAGCATGACAACTTTCCAGCACTTTGTGAACCTCAGATTCCAGGATGCACCTTCTCACTACCCGGTCTACCCCTTGTTTGAACAAGAATGGTTCATCCCAAATGTAGAACTTGGTATCATGGTTAAGCTTTTTCTTTTGTTGGGTGGTAGCACCTGGAGGATAATCACTACTTACTATCAAATTCACTATGTTTGCATACCAGGGCACTTGAGAGATATCCAATGCCATTAATTGTTCATCTGGAAAATCTTCCCGAATTTGCTCACCTTCATACACATGTGAAAAATCCTCCAAATTAGATAAGTGATATGCTATTTGATTCTCCGTACCCTTCCTATCCTTGATTTCGAGGTCGAATTCTTGGAGAAGCAAGATCCACCGAATCAACCTTGGTTTAACATCCTTCTTGTTGAATAGGTACCTAATAGCTACATGGTCAGTAAAAACAATCACATTAGTACCTACCAGATATGATCTGAACTTGTCGAAGGTGAACACTAGGGCCAACATCTCCTTCTCAGTCACTGTGTAATTCGCTTGAGTAGAGTCAAGGGTCTTGCTTGCATAATAGATTGAGTGGAACACTTTATTCTTTCTTTGTCCCAACACTGCACCCACTGCTACATCGCTTGCATCACACATGAGTTCAAATGGTAATTCCCAATCAGGGGCAATTAAGATGGGGAAGCCCTTCAATTTAAGTTCCTCTTCAAGCATCTCAAAAGCTTTCAAGCACATCTCATCAAAGTCAAACTTCACCTCGTTCTCCAGAAGGATGCACATGGGTCTTGCTATCTTGGAAAAATCCTTGATGAATCTCCTGTAAAAACCTGCATGACCAAGAAAATTATGCACACCTTTTTCAGAAATAGGAGGAGGCAATTTTTCAATAACCTCTACTTTAGCCTTATCAACCTCCAACCCAGAGTTAGATACCTTGTGCCCCAACACTATTCCCTCTTTTACTAAAAAATGACACTTATCCCAGTTTAAAACTAAGTTAGTGTCTTCACATCTAGCAGTACTCTATCAAGATTTTGGAGACATACCTAAAAAAACTTCCCAAAGACAGAGAAATCATCCATGAACACTTCTACAAAGTCTTCCACCATATCATGAAAAATGGCCATCATACACCTTTGAAAATTCACCGGTGCATTGCAAAGTCTGAAAGGCATGCGTTTCAAAGCATATGTACCATACGGACAAGTGAATGTGGTCTTTTCCTGATCCTCGGGTGCAATCAAGATCTGGTTGTAACCTGAATAGCCATCTAGGAAACAATAGTACTCCTGACCTGCTAACCTGTCAAGCATTTGATCAATAAAGGGAATAGGGCAGTGATCTTTCTGGGTAGCATCATTAATTTTCTGGTAATCCATACAAATTTTCCACCCAATCACTATTCTAGTAGGAACTAGCTCATTCTTTTCATTCCTTACCACAGTCATACCTTCTTTCTTTGGGAACATATTGTACCGGACTTACCCACTTACTATCAGAGATTGGGTAAACAATCTCAGCATCTAACCACTTTATCACTTCATTTCTTACCACTTATTTCATAAAAGGATTTAGACGACGTTGATGTTGTGCACTTGGTTTGTGATCATCTTCCATGTAAATTCTGTGCATACATAACGCCAGACTAATCCCATGAATATCAGCCATCTGCCATCCAATTGCTTTCTTCCTCCGCTTCAAGACTCACAGTGCCGCCTCAACTTGTAAATCAGACAATTATGCAGAAAGTATAGCAGGCAAGGTTTCATTAGTACCCAAATAAGCGTACCTTAGGTGAGCCGACAAGGCTTTTAGCTCCAACTTAGGAGCCTCTTCAATTGATGGTTTTGGCGGGGAACCTAACTCGCGATCTAAGGACTCCACTTGAGTCCTACGAGTTTCTACTACTGCTAGATTTAAGTATGATTCAGTCTCTTGAGCTTCAGTATCTCCCTCTAACTCTTGACCCACTAACACTCTTTCTAACGGGTCTTCAGATACAATTCCTATGTAATCAACCACAGTAATAGCAGACGATTCTTCGTAAATAAAAGGTAATTTTAAAGGACGGTAAACATCAAATGCCTCAACCTTATCGTGTGCCCTCATAGTTAGTTGACCAGCTGCTACATCAATCAATGCCCTACCCGTAGCCAAGAAAGGTCGTCCCAAGATGAATGAAACTTTAGAATCGGGTTCAAAGTCTAATACCACAAAATCTACCAAAAAAATTAATGAACATACTTGTACTAACACATCTTCTACCACCCCCTCTGGCCTAGCAATAGATCTATCAGCGAGTTGGAGAATAACTGTGGTTCTTTTTGGACTACCCAACCCAAGCTTTAGATACAATGACAAAGGCATCAGATTTATACTTTCCCCTAAATCACACAGTTCGCGGGCATGGACACTTTGCCCAATTGTAATCTGCACAGTGAAACTCCCCGGATCTTTCAACTTCTTGGGCAGTTTGTTTTGAATCCTGGAGCTGCACTTCTCAGTCAGTGCTACAGTTTTATACTCTGTGAACCGCTATTTGTTCACCACAATATCCGTCACATACTTAGCATACTTCGAGATTCCCTGCAAAATGTCAACCAGAGGTAGATTAATGTGAACCTGTTTAAGGAGAGAAAGAAACTTACCGAAGCATTCATCTTCATTCTGCTTTTTAAGCCTTTGTGTAAATGGAGGCGGTAACTTCTTTTGAGGAATGGGAGCCTCAACATTGGAGCTTTTTACTACCTCTTCCCCTTTCTTATCTTTGGTGCTAACCTCAGTGTCTCTCTTCTTTGGAGCTAGTTCATGTAATTGCAGCCCTCTTCTAGTACTTACCGCATGTAGTTGCTTTGGGTTGGGCTCAGTATCACCGGGCAGCCCACCTTGGGGATGCAAGTTCAAATAATTAGCTACTTGCGCCACTTGTTTCTCCAAACTCATTTGAGACATTTGGATGTTTCTGATGTTCTCATCCTGCTTATCTATTCTAGCACTTACCTTGGTCCCTATTTCAGTCATGAGCTTTTGGAATAGCTCTTCATTGGTCATCCCCCCTTTTGGTGCACTAGGATTTACACTTTGGTTGGGATTTTGGTACTGCTGCCCAACCCCTTGGGTACGGTATTGATTCACCCCTTGTGACTGATTTTGGTTTTGGTTTCCCCCCAATGAGAAGTTAGGATGGTTCCTCCAACTAGGGTTGTAACTATTACCATAATTTTGTTGGCCTTGGTCTCTTTGCGCATTACCCACATAATTCACAGAATCCGGATTCTCCTCACATTGCTCAGCTTCATGGTTTCCACCACCACACACCTCACACCAACGGGCTGCCTATTGTACCATGTTTACCGGAGCTTGATTTAGAGCCAACTGTTTAAACTATAGGTTCAAGTTATGTTGCATTGCATCTATCTTGGCATTTATGGCAGTAGCTTGGTCTACATCTAAAATCTCTGTAGCTTTTTGGGTTGTGGTTCTACACATTTCTCCTTATACCATTGGTTCCCCTCAGACAGTTTATCATTCACTTGTTATAGCTAAAGCCTGTCCAGCTGCTGCACTATTAAGAATACCTTTTGCATTGTAATCTAAACCCTCAAAGAAAGCGTGAGCTAGTACCTCATTTGTTTGCATGTGGTGCGGCAAGCATTCAACATTTGTTTAAAGCGCGCCCATGTTTGGTACATGTCCTCACCCTGCTTTTGAACAAAAATTATTATCTCCCTCCTCAGTTTGGCAGTTTTCTTGGATGGGTAGAATCGAGAAAGGAATTTCCTTGCTAGATCATCCCAAGTAGTGATGGAATTTGGTGGTTCAGAATCTAACCAACGCCTTGTAGCGAGTATGGAAACAAAGTCAGCCTCACATAATTCGATGTGACTCTTATTGGGGTGTATGTATTAGTAATCTCTATGAAGTTCCTAAGATGGCTTTGAGAGTCCTCATGGGGGAGACCAGTGAATTGCCCATTAGTATGGAGACTATGCACCATGCTCTGCTTTAGTTCAAATCTACCCCCTGGTGGAGGTTTTCTAATACTGGATGCTAGATTTGCGGTGAGTGGGACTGCCACATCACGAACTGGTCTTGCAGGTATGATAGGTGGTACTCCTTGATTATTCAGATTTTCTGTGTTATTGTGATTTCCTTGGATGTTCACATTTTCTGGGTTATCCACATTGCCTGGATTTTCATCATCGACGTGACCCAGTGGACCTAATCCCAACTCTCTGTGTCATCCTTGATTTGCCATCTTTCTGCGCTAGCGCAAAACTCTCTCAGGTTCGTTGTAAGGTTCTACAAGATCACCTTTCCGAGCCAGACTTGAAATTTCAATGCCTGCAAGAAACAAGCTAAGATCAAGAAATTAATAACTGAAGAAACTAATTGTAGACTTAAGAAGATTGAATATAAGTCAATTTCTAAGTCCCCGACAGCGGCGCCAAAAACTTGTTGCTCCCTAAAATACACGCAAGTGTACGTGGTTGCACAAGTAGTACATATTATTTAAGAAACGAGTTATCGTTCCCAAGGGACTTATCATCAACTTATATTCACTTAACGCTACAACTAAAAGTAACCAAATAACATTTTCAAGAGTTGATGATTTAGTTAAGTAACTACTAATAATTATGCACTAAATGAAAGTAACCGATAGTGAACGACTTAGTTAATATGTTTCAAGCAAGTTTAAAAACAATTCCAGGGCTGCAACATACATTGAATATCATGCATCATATCATTGGCTGAGAATTCACTTCAGTAGTCAAATTACTGGTTTATAGGGTTGATAGTATGGTCCGGGTGGTTCGCCTCTCGCCGCCTACCCCAGTTAGCCATCTAACTACATCGTTGAGCGGGGATAGATAAACTAACTGGCGAGCATTTATATTTCATCCTATTTCGTAACTAAGCAAGGTGTTCGTCTGGGCGTCATTCCTAAACACTAATCACCTCAATCTAATGGGTGGACCGATGCTCTCTATATTCTCTGGTCTATATAATGCCTCCTCGTTCGATTTTAAGATTAGACACTAGATTTATTTTATGGTGCACAAGCATAAAATAGTAAAACAAGTATCTAGAAGTAATTTTGATTGACAACCGAAAATCAATTCATAAAGCCTCAAACATTCAACACATAATTCATAGCTACAGCCCCAGAACTAGGGCGGTTAGCTACTCATGCTATTAGAAATCAATAATAGATAAATGTTCTTACAAAATTCGGAAAAATAGAAGAGTTAAAGGATTACAAACTTGAATTCTTTCTCTTGCACACTAACAAACGTTCCCCTTAATTATGGAGCCTAAGGATCTATTTATAATAGTAGAAAAAGTTGGGAACAAATCCTACTAAAATTAGGAATCCTAATTAATGTTTAAAACTTGGAAAAGTCAGAAAAATGGGGTGTGTCGCGCTTCTCAGCGCGCCTTGAACTTGATTCTAACGTCTCCTCCTTGGCGTGTCGCGCCTCTCAGCGCGCCACACAATCCTCTCTGACGTTCCACCAGTGGCGCGCCGCACTAACCAGTGCGCCAGCCACTGGTGGTTTTTGCCTTAGCCGTTTTCTTGCACATCTTTGCTCCTTCTTTCTTCGTTCCAACTCCAATTCCTTCGAATGCTCCTGAAACAACTAATCATGTGTGTTAGTGCACAATCATCACAAGTTATACCAAAAATCAAGTTAGTAACTAAAGATCATTCTTCAATCTAATCAATTTATGGGCCAATATCGACAACTTAGGTATATAAATATGCCTAAGATCATGGCATACCATTTGAACATGAGATTGAGGAATCATTGAGTAACATGAATAATGGTTATGAAGAATGGATTGGTGAATTTGGTGAAAGTCATGACCTTCATGTTGTTGCTCTAAGCTTTCGATTACTTAGGCTACAAGGTTACTATGTCTCATCTGGTAAGTAATACGTCATCCCATCCAATTTATGTGAACAAAGCTTGTTTGTAGATAAGAGTTTTTAACTTTTTACACACTAGCGTGTGAATACATATTTTGAAACAGATGTTTTTAGAAAGTTCACCGATGACCAAGGAAATTATTAAAAAGCAATGGTTAACGACATGCAAGGATTATTAAGCTTGTACGAGGCAACACAATTCAGAGTACATGATGAAGAAATTTTGGATGAAGCCGTTAATTTCACCACCACTCTCATTTGAAGTTATTGTTGCCTAAATTGAGTAATTCTCTATCTATGCAAGTCAGCTATGCCCTAAAGTATCCAATAAACAAAATTATAGCCAGGGTAGCAACTAGAAAACACACATCGTTTTATCAAGAAGATAAATCATGTGATCAAGTGTTATTGAATTTTGCAAAACTGGACTTCAATACATTGCAGAGGATGCATAAAAGGGAGCTATGTGATATCACAAGGTAACTAGCAAGATACACAATCAATAATATCACAACACTGTTTTATTAAAATCAAATAGATTTTTTATATTGATTTTGAGATTTAACTTTACATTTTAGGTGGTGGAAAGAATTGAACTTGGCAAATGAACTACCTTTTGCAAAAGACAGAGTGGTTGAGTTGTACTTTTGGTCTTTGGGTGTGTACTTTGAGCCCCAATATAATGTTGCCAGAAATATACTAACCAAAGTGTTATGTTTCGCTTCAATTACTGATGACATCTATGATACCTATGGAACACTGCATGAACTTACTCTCCTCACAAATGCAATAGAAAAGTAGTATGTTTTTTTTTTGGAAACATTAAATATACTATATCTACGTTTCAGTTTATTTTCCTAACATTTCTTTTTAGTCCATCCAAAGGACAATATATTTTTTTAATAAAATAATGTTGTGATATTATTGATTGTGTATCTTGCTAGTTACCTTGTGATATCACATAGCTCCCTTTTATGCATCTTCTGCAATGTATTGAAGTGCAATTTTGCAAAAGTTAATATCACTTGATCACATGATTTATCTTCTTGGTAAAACGATATGTATAGCAAATGTATTGAAGTGCAATTAGGAGTCATAATTAATATCAATCACATAATTACCTCACTAATAGCAAAGTTGACTCGAAATGACTTGTTCTCCTTTGCCAACTCTTTCTCCACTTCACTGTAAAAATCTAGGAGAGCAGTGTAAAAGAGTTTCATAAACGGCGCTAGCTTTTCTGCAGCGTCGATGTTCCACCTATTGTATAAATAAAAGAGATTAACGTTTATCTACCGATGATAGCGTAGTACAATAAGAAAATTATATTGTCGATTTATTTTTAGAAAAACATATTCCTCTTAATATATCCACATATTGTATACGCATTAGGTGGAGTCATTAATAAAATTCTTACTTACACATTATTACATGGAACAAATCTTGTAAGCGCTACTCTCACAAATATTGAAAAGATATATAGTTTAATAAAGGAAGAAATATTTTTAAATTTTGTGTCTATAAATATATCATAATATATGTATGGTTATAATATTTTGAAACTTATAATTTTAAATATTTCATAATACTTGCGTGGCTTTCTCATTGAGGATAAAATAAAAAGTTAAAGTAAATTCTTCAGAATTAATTAGTAGGAGTTTGATCATAGGATTTGAGACTCAAATTTGAAAATTTTAATTTATAATCTCGTATATATTTTGAATTGATGATATATTATTGTATACAAATAACGATAAAACTCTCTTTCCTAATAAACTAGAAAATATTTTTATTTCGTAGTATTTTTCAAATTTAAATTGAATAAGCATTTGCTAATGTATTATTTGGTTTTAAAGTTAAATTGAAAAAAGCATTTGCTAAAATATCTAATTTCTAATGAATGATTCAAAGTTATGATCTAAAACATGTTCAAATGGGCTCTTAAACTATTGTCCTTTGGATGGACTAAAAAGAAATGTTAGGAAAATAAACTGAAA